AAAAATTTAAATGAAAATTTAACAACTAATATAAATAACAATTGATTTTGTTATATATATGTAGTTTTTATTAGATATTTTTATTTAATGAAAAAATTAATTATTATTTATGTAATATATTATATTTTTATCTACAATTTATGTTTGAAATGTTAAAAAATTAAATTTTTTTTTTTGATCAGCAAAAAGAAATTTATTAAATGGAGTACAAGGGGTACTCCTGCCCACTTACAAGACAAAAAGAGAAAATAAACCAACAAAACTCCCTAGCAAATTACGCCATGAAGTAAAAGATCTAACAGACAGCCACTAAGAAGATAACAAATACATCTTCTTGTAGATCCTTAGATTCTTGCCATGTTGAACTATGGTCTTCTTGCACTCCGACGGACGTAAAAGCCAATCTGTATAGGAGAAACTGCAGCCTTGTTCCTTGCTTTTGAGCCAAAAAAAAGATTTGGACTGAATAGAGTCCAATATTTGATCTTCAAACCTTTCACCTGCCCCGAACACCTTCAAATTTCTCCAAAACCAAACATACCAAGCAGTAACTAAAAAAACAAGGGTCCCTACCTCCGTCCAGCACTCCCCGTTGATTCCAGCCACCACAACATCCGCCAATCCAAAAACATCTTTTGGCAGAGGACTCTGGACCCCCCACCAACCCAAAACCTTCCTCCAAACCAGCCAAACTGCTTTACACTCACAGAAAATATGCTGGAGATGCTCGACACCCTCATGACAAAACTCACAACAAACGTTCCCCCCTGGTACAACAACCCCTCTCCGACACAAGTTATCCTTTGTAGCTAACCTGTTCAAAAGTAATCTCCACCCAAAAATACTCAATTTGGAAGGAACATACTTACCCCAAAGAACCCTAGACCATTTCTCATCCAAAATAGAACATTTCGGTGATAAAAAGTCATAAGCCTTCTTAGCCGAATAAACACCATCAGCACTATGAATCCAGCTCCAAGAATCAGCCTTTCCCCTATGCAACCCAACCCTATTTATTAACTCCCTAAACTGTTCTTCCGCCCCCACTCCCCTCCCTACACAATTACGCCTCCACCTACAATCCCATATCCAAGTTTCAGCACTCCAAAACCCCATATCCTTTAACAGTCCCTCCCTAGTAATAGCTAATGCATACAACCGAGGGAATAAATTTCGTAATGGTTTATCCCCCACCCATTTATCATGCCAAAAGTCTACACAACTCCCATTCCCCACTTTCCACTTAAAACCTTTTCCTAACATTGCTTCTAACCGTTCCGACCTTCTGCCAAGACCCACAATGTCCTTCCACACACCTGACATATTCCAAGTCCCAACTGACGTAACATCAACCTCCTTTCTTCCTCCATAATATTTCTCCCAAAGAACCCGCTTCCATAAACCATCAACACCATCACCTAGCCTATACCACCATTTTCCCAACAAACTACAATTCCTCCTCTCCAAATCAGCAACTCCTAAGCCACCCTTCCCCTTATCCATACACACGTACTCCCAGCTAACCCATGCAATTTTCCTATCCAAGTTAACACCCCCCCAAAAGAAACTTCTTTGAATTTTAATCATCTCGCGCAAAACACCTTTAGGAATCTTAAATAAAGATAAATAAAATATAGGGAGAGCAGAGAGTACCGAGTTGATTAAAGTTATTCGACCTCCGAACGACAGCAAGGGGCTTTTCCAGGAGGCAAGCTTCTGGCGGAAACGGTCCAGCACTGGGTTCCAAAACTGTCTTCTCCCTGAATTCCCTCCTACTGGCAAGCCAAGATAAGTAAAAGGCATTTTGCCCACCCCACAACGCAAAATGTCAGCGGCGCCTTTAACCCACCCTTCCGACACATTGAAGCCATACAAATAGCTCTTCCCAAAGTTGATCTTCAACCCGGAGATCAGTTGAAACCAATTTAGAATGGCCTTTACAACCCGTAAATTATCAACATCAGCCTTCCCCATAAACACCGTGTCATCCGCAAACTGTAACAAAGATAACAACGTGCCTCCCCGTCCAATCTCGACACCCTTCAAGAGACCTTCACTCTCTGCTTTTTTGACAAGCCCACACAAACCTTCTGCAACTAACAAGAACAAAAAAGGTGACAGGGGATCACCTTGGCGAAGACCGTTGCGAACTGGAAATTCATTCGTCGGACTTCCATTTATTAAAATGGAGATCCTCGATGTTGAAAGACACTCCAACATCCACTTCCTCCACTTCACCCCAAACCCCATTCTATTCATCATCCAATCAAGAAAACCCCAGTCCACACAGTCGTAGGCTTTCTCAAAATCCGCCTTTAAAATAAAGCACTCTTGCTTCCTCCATTTCACCTCATGCACAACCTCATTCAGAACTAACACACTGTCGACCAGTTGCCTACCTCCAATAAAAGCTGCCTGTGACTCACTAATGATACCCTCCATAACCATCTTCAACCGATTGGCTAAAACCTTAGCCAGTAATTTATATAGACACCCTATCAAGCTAATAGGTCTATACTCCTTGAATTGCTCAGGATTCATCTTTTTTGGTATTAATGCCAGAAATGAAGAATTTAAACCATTGACTAACCTCCCATTGCGATGAAATTCCGTCACAAAATTCACAAAATCGTCCTTCACGGTGCTCCAGGCAAACTTTACAAAGTTAAAATTAAAACCATCTGGACCTGGAGCCTTGGAGCCGTCACAATCATTAAGCCCCTCTTCAATTTTCTCTATGGTAAAAGGTCGTTCTAGCCATTCTCGTTGTTCCTCTGAAATTCTCCGGAATGAAATCCCATCCATCGTCGGTCGGCACCACTGTTCATTCTGAAAAACCTTGGTGAAGTACTTCACTGCCTCCGCCTTAACAAGCTCAGGCTCCTCAACCCACCCATTATCACCGTAGATACCTGAGATTGTATTTTGAGCCCTTCGAGCATGCACACTCCTATGAAAAAATGCTGTATTTGCATCTCCAAATCTAGCCCACTTAGCTCTTGATTTCTGTTTCCATACTAATTCCCGCTGCTTTAATGTCTCCCCTAGCTCCTGAAAAGCCTCCCTTCGCTGCTTCACCTCGGCCTCATTCAACCCTTCCACCTCACATTTTTTATCCAGCCTCTCAATCTCATTCCTCAATTTATCAGATCGGGCTTCCACATTGCCAAACACCCTGTCATTCCACCTTTTGCATTCCTCTTTTAACAATTTCAACTTCTGCTTGCACTTGTAGGCTGCCCATCCTTCAATCTGCATCGTCTTCCATCTTTCATCGATAAACTTTCTAAAATCATTATGATGTTGCCATACATCGAGTACCCGAAAGGGCTTGGGACCCCAATCAACACCTCTTGATTTCAAAATAATTGCGCAGTGATCTGAGATTGACCTTCGAATGCCCTCTTGAATCCAATCTCCCTCCATACAACTCATTTCAGTGGATAGCAGGAACCTATCAAGTCTACTCATCGAAGTTCCATCCGGTCTATACCATGTAAACTTTCTATTCCTCAACCGAATATCTACCAAACCCGTCTCTTGCACAAAAAGATTAAATTCTTCCATGTCCTGAGTCTCGCCCATCCTCCCTTTCCTCTCCGCACTATTACGAACAGCATTGAAATCCCCTGCCAAAAGCCATCTCCCACCCTCATCCAAAACTAACCTGCTCAATTCCCCCCACAACACAACTCTGCGTTGCCTGTCGCACGGCGCATAAACATTAACAAAAGTGCATTGAATCCGATGTTGACCCCACTCCCTTGAAATCCCGATGAAACCTTGACCTTCCACTACCCTCTGTTTCACAAAATTCCTCTTATTCCATATGCACAGCATACCACCCGAATTACCATTTGATTTTTGCATCACCCATTCAAAATCATCTGAATTCCACACTAACCGACACACAGACATATCAATTTGTTCAAGCTTTGTTTCCTGAATAAACAAAAAATCTGGACTCTCCTTTCTTACTAACTTGGAAACCTCTTTTCTTTTCACCACACTACCCAAACCCCTAACATTAAATGAAATAACCTTCATAAGAAACTTCCATACCTCACCAGCCGGCCTCCACACAGATCCATCGGGTTATGCCTCCTTGAAGCTCGCCACCTCTCCCTCCTCCAGCATCACCAACCGAGACAGCACTTCATCTTCATTTTCTTGACACTTAACCCCCAATCTTTGCCCCAACATGAACAACTTCTGCACCTCTTCCAGCTGGATCTGCTGCCGAATCACTCGGTTTCTGTTCTGGATGCACCCATCGGACAAAGAGAAGCTTCCCGTCTGCAGCTCCGGCCTGGGTACCTCTCGGTTGGCCTTGCTTCTTCGATCCCTTCTGCATTTTGTTCTTGCAGTTACCCAACTCGTCTCCCCTGCTTTTAATTTTGTCTTCCCATCCACTGCATCCCCGATACCCTCATTTCCCGCATATATTGACCCTAGATCTCTGCTCCTTTTATTTTTTTTTTCCCCCTGTTGCTGAAGCACATCATTAGAAGTCAAAAACCCACTAACACACCCACCTACAGCCCGTTGCTCACCAGACCTCGTTGTTGCTGGCCCAACCATGTCCACACCCTTCGGCCCAATTAAATCATCCCCCGCTAGCCCTACTAAATCTGCCCCATCCAGCCCACACATCTCCATCCCCATTAATTCAAAATTTTCAAAAGACCCTCCTTCCGTTGCAGCATCCGTTACAGCTTGAATATCGCCATTCATGGCTTCATCTTCTCCGCAAAATCCGGTAGCAATTAAGCCAGATTCGCTGCCCTCATCACTGGAATATTCTGAGACCGATTCTGACGTCGGATTCCTCCGCTCCCCGGCCAGCCACCAGTCGGGATCCATCCTCCACTCCTCCTCAGCCACTTCAATCGGAAAAGCTTCATGACCCACCTTCAGGAGTATTGATGCTGAGATTTTGGCCCTTGTTTCACACAGAATGAGAACCCGTCCTTCACACAAAAATGATTTGCTCTTCGTATCTTCATCCACGAGTATAACCTCGCCAATTAATCCCCCTAGCTCAGCAAAGCAACGCTCGCTCCATGAATGTAAAGGGACACCGGAAAATCGCAGCCAAGCCAAACGACTTACAGCTGAAACCGTGGATAAAGATGTTGGTTGCACCCATTCGAACCATAACTCTGTTAGCTCCTTATTATTCTCCATGAACTCCACAAGACATCCTTCTGAATTATCAACCAAAATGATCTGTCTACCTCCTAACAGTGCAACATTCACCATTAAACCATCAACATCCATCCTATGTTGAATTTGTCTCACCATATCTAAAGACCGGACCACAGCCACCATACTCCTATTCAACCAAGCCACTTCCTCATCACTAGGCAAGAATTCTAACACCAAATCGCCTTGTATAGGAGACGTTGCTCCGGCTACCCCTTCCGTTATCAATGGCACAGACAGTTTCTCTGAGGCTTTTTCAAGTATCACTGCAGAAGCCTTCATCGAGACACCCTCCAATGCATTCCCGTCTGCTGTTTCCTCCATCTCTCTCATTGCCATCAATTGTCTATTCCCCTTGTTCGAGGATAAACCTTCCGCAACTGCACCCGGACTAGCAGCAACAGCCTGTGCATACGACCTCCCAGGCGTCACCCTCGCATCCCTTCTGACCCATTGTTTCTCTTCCTTTCTGTTTTGAGCCACCCTAAACTCAACCTTCCCTTCTTTCATATTCTCTGCCACCTTCACTTTAAGGCGATAGGAATCCAGCCAAATCTGGTTTAGTCTCCTCTCCATGTCCTTGACATCAAAGGCACCCGCCATACGCGCGAACCCAAACCGACGACCTCTTTGATCTCGCCTTGTGGGATATACACATCCACCACCTTCCCATATGACCAAAAACAGAACCACAGATCCTTTGCTGAACGGTCCTCTGGGAAATCATAGAAGAAAAACGTTGTAGCTTGCTCTAGGAACCCCTTGCCGAACCCTGGAAGCCGCCTCCGAGCCCCACTGTCCTTGGCTGTCGAGAACCTAGCTCTAACCCTAGCACTCTCTCTCTCTCTCTCTCTCATCTCTCCTAATTCTATTAAAAATAAATAGAGTAAGTAATAAAGTATGCATTTGATATAATGTCAAACATTGTTTCTTTTATCATAAAAATTGGTACATTATATGAGCTTAACACTTTGGGTTTTGGTTTCATAAAGCTTGTCGTTCCTCAAAAAAGGCTATTACATCTTAGTGTGATTTCTAACACATTTTACTTAAGAGGAAAGTCATTTTCAATAATTTTTTATTTGTAACAATTTAAAATAGTTCAAGAAAAGTTTAATTGAGTGGATATCGACTAACTAATTGAAGCATCTCAATATTTATATACAAAAAATACAAAACATAGTGTCATGGTGGACAGCTCAACATTTAACGCTTCAAGGGATAACTTGGGAAGGATGTATTTAGCTTTATAGATGATAAGACTATTG